TGCATCCCCCCAAGGTGCGGGGGCCTCCTCGGGGCGCAGGGGCATCCGCTACAGGAGCGTCACGCAGGTCGGCGGGCGCGGGGTCGACCTGGTCCTCGACGCGATCGGCGGCTACGCCCCCGCCGCGTGGGACGTGGGGGCGAACGGCAGGAGCCGAGGACGCAATATGGAGCGATGCAGGGATGCCCAAGTCACCACCCACCAAAGCACCCCAACCCAACCCGAAGGCCCAAATTTATCCTCGATTTCCAGTGGGGGGGGGGTCTGGGAACGTCGGAAAAACACATGGAACCCGTACCCCCCCCAACCCGAAATTCGGGTCAAATTCGGGTCTTAGGGTTGGGTTGGGGTGGTTTGGTAGGTAGTCACCAAGAGGCTGCCCTGTGCGCAAGCGTCGTCGCTCTCGGGGGGGGATCCTGGGAGGTCCCGCGGCGCAGGCTGTCCTTGCAGCGTCTTCGTAGTTGTGCGGGGGGCGCTCTCTTTCGTGCGGGGCGCTCCTCTGTGTGGGATGCAGCAGAGCGACACCGGGATCCCCCAGCTCTCGGCCACGCGCAGAGGGGGGGCAGGGGGAGGGGGGAAGGCCTCTTAGAAGCGGCCTCCTTCCAAGAAGCCTCCCCCCCTCCCCCCACCCCCCTCTGCGCGCCGCCAAGCGATGCAGAGATCCCCCAGAGCATCCGTTACTGGAAACTTCTGGCAGCGCTCTGGACGAACCGGTCGCGACAGAGGTTCGGCCTCCGGCCGCACATGTTAACTGCAACGAGCCGGGCGCCGACGTCTTCGAAGCCTTCGCTTGGACCCTGATGCGCCCTTTTCCCGCTACCGAGATTCGACCCCCTCTGGTCGCGACCGAAAGTCGGCGTGGCCGAAATCCGTTGCCGAACATTTCCCGTCGCGGATGATGTCTGGGCCGGGTGTCCGGCGATGTTCGGAGAATTCAAAGCAACATAAGCATACACCTTCGGAGGTCCAGGGGGGGCCCAGCGCCGATCCGAGACATCCGCGCGGACAGCCGACAGGTTATGCTCATGCCGGTTTTTGATCTTCCAGGTGCCACTTCTTCAGTTGGATTGTCGGCCCTCGTCCGCGCACATGTCTCGGGCCATGATCTGCGAATCCCCCTCCTTGGGCCCTGAACGGCCCCTAAAAGCTGCCACCGCACGGTTCCACGCTTCTCCCCCCCCGCTTATATCGGGGAAACGTAGGACTCGAGTATGCGCTCCTTCGAAGGAGGCTTGCATTCGTGAAGGGGGCTTCGTGGGTGGCGGCGGCTCTGCTTGGGTGGGCGGGTCGGGTCGTGGTCTTGTCTCCATGGGCGCAGGCGCCTGGGATTGTCCAGGTCGGGGCGCTTGCCGGCCCCGCGCTGCCGCGGGCTTGGTTTGGGGCCGGGGCGTGGCTCCCTGTGGCTTTTCGCGCCCCCCCTGGTCGTCTGCGGGGGGAGGCGTCGCCATGATCTGGTGTGATGTGGTCGGTAGGTTCTGGGGTGTGGTTCAGGGTTAGACGCGTGTCGGTCGTCTGGTGGATGGTTTCGGTTGTGCCCCCCCCCCTTCCCCATGCGCGGTCGGACAGGAGGCAAGGTGTTGGTCTGGACATGAAGCGGAGTGCGGGGACAATGCACGGGAGCGTCGGAGCAGGGAGGTAGCAAGAGCAGCATTTGCCATACTCATGCCACCGCGTCGCGCCGCAGCTGGGCCGGCTCAAGATGGAGGCTCTCCGGGAGGAGATTCGGCTCGGAAATGCCGGCCTCGCCGATTGGGAGAACGTGCGGGGTTTGAAACTTCGCTTCGATTTCCTCAGGCTGTGCGGGGCCTCGCCAGAGTTTCTCGAACAATGGCGCTATGGACGGTCTTTGGGAGCCTCCCGTCACGTCGCCCGCGCTTTTCCTAACCATCCATCGGCACGGAACAATCCAGAATGGGCTGAGCGGGAGCTAGATAGATTGGAATCGATGGGAAAGATATCATTCTTTCCTGCAGGAGGCGCCAAGCCGGCAGCACTCAACGTAAATCCGCTCGGCCTCATCTTGAAGGAAAGGGAAGGAGTTCCTTCGGACGCGGCGGAGTTCGAAAGGCTGAAGGCCCGATGAATTGTCGACCTTCGGCGGGGCGGGGTCAACGATCTTCTCCCGGCGGTGAACGTCAATTACGGTACCATTGAAAAAGCCGTTAGCATGTTAGGTGCTGGATCGTGGATGTACGCGATCGACCTCCAAGACTCGTTCTTCAATTGGAAGGTAGCGGACGCAGACACGTTCCTCTTGGGGTTCTACTCGAATGTCTTCCGTGCTTACGGAAAGTTCGATTACCTTCCTTTCGGCTTAAAGCCGGCCCCGGGCACGAACGACTCGTCCGTGAAGGAGATCCTTCGCATTCTCTTGGTCAGAGAAGCTGTGCCTCTGCTCGATTTCGTCGACGACTTCCTCGGCTTCGCAGAGAGCGAGGATGAGGCGTGGAGGCAGCTGCGCACCGCCGTGCGTTTCTTCATCCAGTGTGGAATTCCCGTGAGCGCGAAACCCACAGGCGTCCGACCCCCTAGCCAACGACAGGTTTGGATAGGGTGGATTTTTGATACTGCCCGTCGTGTAGTGACAGTCTCCGACGAGAAGTGCGAGCGTTGCCGGGCTTTGTGCTTAGAGCTGATTGCTGCGAACAGCCAGCAAACTCCGAGAACGAGGCAGCTTGCCACCGCCGCAGGTTTTGCATCTCACATAGCAGACATGTGGCCGCAGGCGCGACGACGCTTGCGCCCACTGTGGGTCGACATGAACTCCACAGGCGTGTACGCTCTCTGGCAAGCCCAGCCAAGCGCCGATCCAGTGGTGCACCTCTCGCCGTTGAGTTTACAGAACCTCGATTGGCTGTATCGAGCGTTGGAGTCTCCACCAGTGCGTTCCCTGCATTGTGCGGGTGGCTCCTTATCCTCCTGGGGGCACAAATCGCCCGAGTTCCTCAACTGGCGTTCCTTAGCCAACGAGGGGCTCATCCAGGTAATAGAGACAGATGCATCAAAACTCGTAGGCTGGTCGTACCATGTCTGCGCCGACAGCCGAGTCGTGTCAGGCGTGTGGCCAGATGATTTTGTCTTAACCGAAGGCCACCTCGGTGCGACAGACATCAACTACAAGGAACCCTGGGTCGCCCTGCAATGCCTGCTGCGCGAAGGGCAGACGTTTGCAGGGTGGCGGGTTTTATTCCGCATGGACAACACAGCGGCTGTTCACTATGTGAACATACGGTACGGGAGGGTGCCGTCTCTAGAAGAGCTCGCCGGCCGGTTCGAGGCGGCAGAACGCAATGCGCAATGCTGGGCGCTCGCCGTGCATATTCGCGGCGTTCACAATCCTGTAGCCGACAGCGGGTCCCGCTCTCCAAGCTTCGCGTTGGCTTGGGCAGAGTGCCCCTTCCGTGACGCAGTCCTGCGTCGCGACTTGTTCCGGGATGTAGAGGCGAGGTGCCAGGTCTCATTCTCGCTTGATTTGTTTGCGGATCGCGCTGGCCTGACGGCGCTTGCGCCCCACTGGTGTTTCCCCGAATTGACTGCGTTCGAGCAGGATCTGCGGGGCCACGTAGTGTGGGCTCACCCCCCGAGAGCGATTATCTATGCTATGCTGGAGCATTTCGCCCGGGAGGCGGCGGCCGGTTGCGACGCCCGCATCGTTATCTTTATTCCAGAGGACACGACTGCTCCGTGGTTCCGCGTGTCGTTGCTGCGGAACTGGCATCGAGTCCGCTCGTGGCAGGCGGGCTCCGATTTATTCCGGTGGGTGTCCACCGCTGGTGCCAGGCACGGCCCCCGTACAGACCTGCAGTATTCCGTCCTGCAGAACTGGCAGCCGGCGAACAAGCGCAGGCGCAAGGGTGAAACAAACATCATCTTCATCATCGTCTGTTCCATCCGGCAGGCGATGTGTCGTGCCCGACTCAGAGGCGCTATGAGCGTGCGATCTTCAAAGCTACGGGAGCTACGGCAACAAAAAGGGTCGGGGAGAGTGCGAGGGCGAGAGAGAGGGTGGCAGGGTGGCCGGCTGAGGGGGGGAGAGCGCGCCCGCCGACCCGCAGGTCCCCGCTTTGCCTCCCCATTCTTCCAACCCCAGGAGAGAGAGAGAGAGAGAGAGAGAGAGAGAGAGAGAGAGAGAGAGAGAGAGAGGGACTGAGAGAGAGAGAGGGAGAGGGTGAATGTGGGAGGGAGAGACGGCGAGAGAAGGGGGGAGCGCGCCCGCCGACCCGCAGGCTCTCGCTTTGCCTCCCCATTCTGCCAACCTCCTTCCCTCTATTCACTTCACCATTCTCCGCCCTCCTTCAGCGCGCAGAAAGGGAATGGTGTTGCTCGCCTCGCCCCCCCACCCCGTGCCCCTCCGCCCCGTCGCCCTGTCCTCCCATCGTCCCCCTCCCCCGCTTCGTACTTGGGAAGGAAGAGCTGGGGCGGGGAGCGTGTGTGGCTGCTCTGCGCGCGGGAGGCGGCATAGGTGCTGGCGCGCGTGTGCACGGAGCTCTCGTCCCAATCTCGTCGGCTTGGGAGAGAGCAGTTGACCTCGGTGCCCCCGGGGTCAAAACGTCATGTGTAGCGCGGGCAAGAAAGGGTTATCGGGGGTCTGGTTTCGCTCGCGCTGCGCCCCGGCCTCCGTGGCCGGTCTGGCTCGAGCGTTTGAGATTTCGTGCGTGCGCAGCTTTCCACCAGCCCCCTGCCCATACCATGGCAGCAGACGAGACTCGTTTGAAGGAACTCATTGCGGAAGCATGTCAGCCTTCTGGTGCCATCCACACAGCCGTCAAGGAAGCGATTCAGGCGGCCGCAGTCGATGGTTGCGTGAAGATGCGCGCGGAGAGCGTCGCTCAGAAGGCAATCGGCGACAGCTTTTCCGACGGAGGGGCGGTCTTCACCGCAATCGCCAGTGAAGCAGATCGGCTCGCCGACGTGAGCTTCCCCTACCGCAGGCAGCTCCGGGGCCTGAGTGCGCCGCAGTGGGCCAACACGTGGGCTGCGTTGATGGCAGACCCAGACGACCTCTCGGCCGCCGCAGATGCCATGAGAGACCCGCCCTTTGCGTCGATCATGGCGCTCCAGGCAGCTCACCCTGATAACGCAGAGCTTCAGGCGCTTCGCCAACATGCTGTTCGCAAGCATGGGGCGCATCACTCGTGGAAGACCCTTTG